TGCTTCTGATGTTTTTAGTTCTTGAGTTAAGTATTTGTCTATATACAGCAAGTCCTATTATCATCGTTATTTTAATCACTGTTACCGCACATCGCAGGTTTTCCTACTACCGTGCAGCGCTAGGCGGCGTGTGACCATTCAACAACAAACCTCTGTGTCGCTGACATCATCGGTCTCCATGTCGATGTCGAACACCCCCGCCATCCTGACAAAGACACATTAAAGCAGAGGATGAGAGAAAAGCTTCATCCTGCTGAGGAACCTCTAAGGAACAAATCCACTAACCTTCAGGTATAGAACACACCTGACCTAAGTTTATTGTTATTATTGTTGTTATTATTATTATTATTGTTATTGTAATTGTTGTTATTATTCTAATTGTAATTATTATTCTAATTATTATTATTATTATTACTGTTGTAATTATTATTATTATATTATTATTATTATAGTTATTATTATTATTATTATTGCTATTATTATTATTATATTATTATTATAGTTGTTATTATTGTTATTATAGTTATTGTTATTATTATTGTTGTTATGATTATTATTATGATTATGATTATTATTATTGTTATTATTATTATTATTGTTATTATTGTTATTGTAATTGTTGTTATTATTATAATTGTAATTATTATTGTAATTATTATTATTATTATTATTGTAATTATTATTATTATATTATTATTATAGTTATTATTATTATTATTATTATTGTTATTATTATATTATTATTATAGTTGTTATTATTGTTATTATAGTTATTGTTATTATTATTGTTGTTATGATTATTATTATGATTATTATTATTGTTATTATTATTATTATATTATTATTATTATTATAGTTATTATTGTTATTATTATTATTATATTATTATTATAGTTATTGTTATTATAGTTATTGTTATTATTATTGTTGTTATGATTATTATTATTGTTATTATTATTATTGCTGTCATGATTATTATTATTATTGTTGTCATTATTATTATGTGAGGTACGTGCTGTGACTCTCCATCCTTACACCAACAACAGAATCTATCCAAGACTAAATCCATCGCTGATCTGATTCCCTGCGGATTTCTGATGCTTCATAAATCCTAAACCAGGGTTCTCCTTTTCATTTACAAATGCAGCTCAAACTGCTTTACGGGTTAAAATCACCCCATATAACCCACAATCCCATCATTTCCCCAAAAATATAGAAATAATTATGACAGTGCCCCCCCCCCCCCCCCCCCCAAAAAAAATCCCACAACCCATTTCCTAAGGAATACGCACCGACACACACACACACACACGAACAACAAATACACATATGCACACACACAAAATTTAAAAATAAATAAATAAAATAAAATATCATAAGTAAACACTAGGCCGAGTTCAGATAGGTTAGGTAACGAACAACACGCCATCAGGTGAGCCATCTGCCTCGGTAGTAGTCGATCGACGGCAGCAGCAAAGGCACCAGCCCAGGGCTCCCAGGGTGGTAGGGCGAAACCCCCCACCGCCTAAGCTCTCCCCGAGGTGCGCCCAGGCCGCCACAGTCGACCACCAGCCCAGAGGCAGAGGGCCCCACAGAAGAAAACACTGGCACAAACAAATAACATCAAAATAATAAGAGCTAATATGGATAGTAAAACAACCAAAAAAGTGATTCAAGGAAAACACTAAGACATAGATGTCTAATAAAACTAAAATATAAATAATAAAATAAAAACAAAACAAGCAATGCAGCTAAAACAGATTTCAATTCAAAGCTATGGTAAAAAGGTGAGTCTTACGCCTGCTCTTAAAGACACGAACATCCTCTACGACCCTGAGCTCCTCGGGCAGCCTGTTCCACAGCGAGGGCCATAACACTGGAAGGACGCCTCGCCGTGGGAGTGTGTCCTGACTTTAGGGATGACAAGGAGACGGCCGCCAGAGGAGCGCAGAGGTCGCGAGGGTTTGTAAGGTAAAAGCAGTTCTGAAAGATAAGAAGGCCCAAGACCGTTAAGACACTTAAAAACCGTTAAAAGTACTTTAAAATCGACCCTGAAGCATACAGGGAGCCAATGCAGTGATTCTAAAACTGGAGTGATGTGCTCCCGCCTCCTGGTCTTCATCAGGACGCGAGCTGCTGAGTTTTGTAAAAGTTGTAAACCTGAAATTCTCTTTTTAGGAAGAGCAGAAAGCAGATCATTGCAGTAGTCTATCCTACTGGTGATAAAAGCACGCATCAGCGTCTCCGTATCGGCCCGAGAGAGAACGGGGCGGACTCTGGCGATGTTCTTTAGACGATAAAAACCTATTTTAGTCATGTTTTTTATGTGTGGGATAAAAGTCAGCTCAGAGTCGAAATTCACACCAGATGGATTAAAAGACCTTGATTGTATTTTTGGTAAAAGTTTCTCTCTCTCTGGGCCTCAGGACCGATGACTAAAACTTCAGTTTTGTCCTGGATGAGCTGCTGACCCAGGAGTGCTGTGGTTGTGGTTCAGGTG